CATTGTTGTGCTACTTCTTGTTTTGGATCCATTTTTAGAGTTTTATATCCCAAGATTGGAACTTTGTGAGTTTGGTGAACTCCAGAGCAAATCTCCTATCCTTTTAAGTGTATTGGGTTGCCTTGATTCTTAAAAATGAGAACTTGGTCATCTAGACTTCTTCATGCATGTGTTAAGAGGATTTAAGAGAGTCTTAATGGTTATTTTGGAAGTTTGGTCCCATTAAGACATGCAAACTGCTAAAGTCGCCAACTTTATCAGTTAGGAGCTTATAAGAAAGCTTCCATGAGGTTTGGATGCTTTGCGCTGAAGTGCTTAAGTCGAAAATGGAGTTTCTGGACTTGAGCATTACACCCCACATAAGTCCTAGTACGCCCCGTGTACTGGTCTAGTTTCCCCAATCAGGATTTGTGTGTACGTTGAGCGTACCAAGGGAGGTACGCCCCGAGTAATCTCGTTGTGGTCTTTTTGGGCTAAATCTCGTATTGGGCCTTAAGTGTTAGGCCTGGATTTTGGGCTTGATGTATTGGAGATTTTGGATCAGAGGAATATATATATATATATATATATATATATATATATATATATATATATATATATATGTCTTGGGCCCTTGTGTTGGGCTTGCCTTTTGGACTTAAGTTTAAGGGTTGGGCCTTGGTGGGTCCAATGGGCTTGGGTTATTTATCGGTCAGTTAGTGGACTATCTTTAGACCTAATGAGTGAGGGTTTGTTCTTAGATCCTAATTGGGTTAATTGTGGGTTTGGCTCAGTGTTAGAGGCCGGTGTGCAGCAGCAACATTTATAGGAGCTGTTCATCATCCGAGGTGAGCCTTCTCACTGTAGTTACCTAAGTGGTAATCATTGTGTGACCGGAGGGTCTTATGTTCTTATACTGAGTTATGTGATATCATGCATTTTGTCTTTGTGATTTATGTTGTATATTAGTCTCATTTCTTATTAGGTTATTATGTCCTTGTGAGACCGGAGGGTCTTCACTGAGATACCAGAATAGAGGGCCCGACTTGAGCTGTGAGACCAGAGGGTCTTCACTAAGACACATGACCGGAGGGTCCTTATCGAGATATAGCCATGAGAAGCAAATTATTTGTGTGTGGTATTTTGTGGAACTCACTAAGATTCTTGCTTATCGTGTTGTGTAATATGTGTTTCAGATACTTTTTGGGATCGCGGGAAGGCGCTCGCTTGATTATACACACCAGTTAGAGATCATGATTTGAGCATTCTGGGATTTTATCAAACATTGTTGACTTGTGTTTTGACAACTTATACATTTTGTAATTCTTGAGAAATGTGATATTAAGTTTATGTGATTTTAAAAATGAAAAATTTATTTGAAAATTTACAGTGTTACATCTTTTCTCCCCAGAGTATGCTGCTTCCGAGCAGGTGCAAATGTCATGATACTTGAGTATGCTCAAGATAGAGATTCAAGAGTATGTATTGATACAACTGTTTTGGACCTTGGTCAAGTCTCAGTCAAGTTCTAGGAGAAAAGATACTGAGATGGAGGTCCAGTTGAAGGAGGAGATGCCAACTTTAGGACATTATTAGCCAACGACCAAGAGGTTCAAGTCTGCCGGCCCGAGTTCAGGATCAACTGCGAGGAGGAGTTCCAAGTGTGGCAAGTGCGAGAAGTTTCATGATGGGAGGTGTCGATCTTTTGTATGTCGCAGATGTCACGAAGAGGGTCATTTTGGTAGAGATTGTAGGCGGAGTACGCGAGTTTTCTTCCATTGCGGCTAGAAAAGCCACATCAGATATAGTTGTGCCTTTCCGTCTTGGTAAGGTGCTGAACCCTACACCCATTGCTTGGCAGCTTCCTGACGGGCGTTGTGGGACGTCCAGATCTCCGGAGACCGAGGTTTGAGTTATTAGTTCTTCTATTTAGTTGATTGCTACAATGTTGATATTCATCTATAATTTATGTGTAACACCCCGAGTTAAGAGGTGCAAGTTCAAGGTTCTTAGTGTAAATAAGGAAGGTCGACTCGGCGAGTCGAAGGATAGACTCGGCGAGTCGAGTCGCGGTTCTGGTCAAGTGTTAAGTGACCAACTCGGCGAGTCGGCGGCTGGACTCGACGAGTTGGTGCTGAAAGGAGAAAACCCTAATCCGGGATTGTGCCCTATATAAAGCACATTATAGCCACCTTCAGCCTCTTGGCTACTCATTTGAAATCCAGAAACCCTCATCTCGTGTGTGTGACTCCATTGATGAAGAATTAGAGCTTGAAAAAGAAAATTGGTGTAAGAAGCTTGGGGATTTGGAGACCATCATCAATGGGCTTAGGTAGATCTGGAATCTACTTCTGTTTGGGCACATTTCAGGGGTAAGGAACCTCCTCCTTAAGCTATTTCATTATTGTTTCATGAATGGTGGTTGATTTGGGATTCCTTAGCTTGTTTGGGAGCTATTTCGAGTTTGAGGCTTAGATCTGAAGTTGCTACTTCAGATCTAGAAGAGTGGTGGCCTAAAAGGTCCTAAAGTTCATGTCTAAGAGTCATTGGTGAAGCCCTTTATCTTGAACCCTAGCCCTAGAAGTGTTTTAGGCTTATATCTTCTTGCTTTCACATAAAGTTTGCAACTTTATGTGAGGGTTAGGCTGTAGAGGAATGGAGTCCCTGCATGGCTTGAAAAACCTCTGTTTGGAATGAGAACTGAAGAGACTCGACGAGTCACATGGGTGTACTCGACGAGTTGTATGAATATGTGCATGGACTCGGCGAGTTAGAAGAACAACTCGGCGAGCCTGTTGAAGATTGCCTTAGACTCGGTGAGTCTGGTCGTGGAACCCTAACCTTTTCTGGTTGAGCTGTGAATCGATGAGTCGAGGGATGAATCGGTGAGTTGAGTAGGAAGGGACTCAGAGCTTGTTGGACTCGACGAGTCTTGGGGTGACTCAGCAAGTTGAGTCGTGGCATGGGAGTTTCTGAGCATAGGAACTCGACGAGTCAACGGGTTGACTCGGTGAGTAGGGTCAACCAGGAAGGTTGACTTTGACTGAGGACCTTGACTTTGTACAAGGGTTGACCAGTTGTCTTCCAGGGATATTTTGGTAGTTATTGGTATTTATTTGATTGGTTATTTGGTAATGTTCAGTGGTGGAGTTCGTGTCGGTGGGTGGAGCAGCGTGATCTTATTCTTCAGTCGGCAATTGCTGGTGAGTTATCCTCACTATATCGATAGGGTCTAAGATCATATGGGAATCCGGATAGTTGTTTGTTATGTTATTGCTCTGCTATGTCTGCATCTTGCTAGTTAGGATGGTATATGTTAGGGACCTGGTTAAGGTCAGTATCCTGGTAGTTAGGATGGTATATGTTAGAGACCTGGTTAAGGTCGGTATCCGGGTAATTAGGATGGTATATGTTAGAGACCTGGTTCAGGTCGGTATCCTGATACATAGGATGATGCTATGTTAGTGACCGGTTAGGTCAGTATCCTGATTAGGATGTTGCTATGTTATGTGATCTGCTAGATCGGTTGATTAGTTGTGAATTGCTATATGATTATATGTTTATGTGCACATGGTTGTTGGACTGGGGTTGGGTTGAGGCGGGTCCTGCTTTGTGCTGTAGGCCAACATACCTAGGACGGACCGGTTAGACCGAAGGCCCGGCGAGCGGTCCGGATAGGCTGAAGTCCCCAAGAGGGTGGACCAGACGTGCCGAGGCTCGAAGAGTGGACCAGACAGACTGAAGACCCGATGCGGACGGACCAGTCATACTGTAGACTCAGAGAGTGGACCAGGTGGACTAAAGGCCCAGTGCGTGCTGACCAGTCATACTGTAGACTCGGAGAGAGAGTGGACCGGGTGGACTGAAGGCCTGGTGCAGGCGGACCAGTCACACTGTAGATTCGATATGCATGATTGTTTTGTTTATGTTATGATATGTGTGTGGTATTGTGGTTGGTATTTTGGGGGTAACTCACTAAGCTTTCAGGCTTACAGTTCCAGTGTATTGTTTCAGGTACTTCAGGAGATCGTGGCAAGGCAAAGACATGATTGTACCGCTCCTCAGTTTTATGTTGATGTTTCTGGGATACTCTGATAATAAACGAACTGAAAACCTTTTTGTAATAAATTAATGAATATGAGTTGTTTTTGAAAAGTTAAAATTTGTTGTAAATTTTTGGATGTTACATTATGTTTATGTTTCAAAGCTCAATTGTAATCTTGGATGATTAGTTGAATGAAATTATCTTATTTAGCTATGTTTTTGATTGATTTCTTATTATTAATCGATTAATTATCATTTTCCTCGGTTGCATGCGTGTTGGAATTTGTGAATGTTGTATGGGTTCAGATTCTCCTGTGTATTTGGATATCAGTGGTTGGGATCAAGTAATAGAGTTCAAGTTGGTCTCGGGTATCGAATGATTGTGAAGTTGTCAGATTCTAGCATATTTCAAGTGGGAGAGAGTGGAACCTCATAGCAGGAAGACCTTATGACAAGGTTCATTTCACAGTCCGATTTCTCCAAGTTCAAGACTTCCGCGTAGCTGCTGAATCTTGTGATTTCGCATCAAGATCATTGTCTTCTATTGGATTTGCCTTCGAGTCGCATTAGTTTTAATTGAGATATAAATTTGTAAGACGTTCATGTGTTTTTAACTCTGAGGTGTTAGGAGCCAAGAGTTAATTAAATACATTAAACAAAGTATTCTTAATAAAGTTGCATATAGGATAGTAAATTAATAATGAACCATTAATTACCTTTATAATATATTGCATCAATTCCATTATCATCTGATCAAAATCGATGGAAAACCTCCCATTACGTCAATTCGATTGTATTGAATTCAAATTTGTTAATAAGTTATACAAACCCGATGTAAAACCACTAAACCATATAAAGAAACCACCCTTTACCGAACTAATCCTCTCCCTCACTTGAGTCTTCATCTCCCGAGTCACATGATTCTGTGTCTGTATCTTTCGAGTCTTCATCGCCTGAATCGCTTAATACTTGGTCACTCAACTCTTTCTCTCAGCTTTCAGCCTTGCTTCTTCTTTTACATTTTCTAGAGCTTTAATTAGGTCTTTTAAGCAACTCTCAGCATTCTTGATATCAGCTGACTTTGGCATCAAATTTTCAGCAACATCTGCTGGAGACATGTTCGTTTCCTCCAACAGCCGACTGATGGATGGAAACAAGTCGTGTGATTCAATATCCAAATAGTTCTTTGCCAACACTTTAAATGTTTCGAAACAACAGAAGGAGAGCTCAATATGCTTGTCCATCCTTCCTCTTCTAATCAGAGCAGGGTCAAGCTTTTCAATGTGGTATGTAGTGAACACGATGAGTCTCTCACTACCACAAGCCGACCATAACCCATCAATGAAATTCAGCAGCCCCGATAAGGTCACTTCACTTCCCTTTTTCTTCTTAACCTTTTCCTTTTTGTGAACTAGATTCTTCTCCTCCTCAGTATTCTTTCCCTTCTTGATCTCCTTTCTTTCACCAGTAAGATCAAGTGAACAGTCAATGTCCTCTATCACAATTATAGACTTACTTGATGTGTGGATTAGTAGCTTCCTCAAATCCGTGTTATCATTAACGGAGGTTAATTCAAGATCATAGATGTCGTAATCAAGAAGGTTAGCCATAGCAGCGATCATGCTAGACTTTCCAGTTCCTGGTGGGCCATAAAGAAGATATCCTCGCTTCCACGACTTTCCCACCTTCTTGTAGTAGTCTTTCGACTTGATGAAGCTCATAAGATCATTCAAAATATCCTTCTTCTTTTCCGGATGCATTGCAAGAGTATCAAACGTTGAAGGGTGGTCGAATATGATGTGGCTCCACGAGGTCCCCTTGCCATTGGTATAGAGCTTTCGTTGCCTGGTTTTCTTTGCAATGGCCTCTCCTTCATCAATCACATGGGGCACGTAAACATTGGTGATTACGTCTCTGTGTTTGCGATGGCAAGTGAGCTGGTAGTATCGCTTCTCGTCACCATCGTTATAAGCAATGAGAGCCCGATGTTGGGGGATGATTTTGCTCGAACTCCACCAGATTGTCATGCCTTGGAACTCATCTATCACCTCTTCGTAGTCTTCCATGCTTAAGAAAACGGATCTAAATTTGCTGTTTTTAATAACATTCGCTTTGAGCCGTTTAACTCCATTGGAGGAGTTGGAACTAAGGTATCGTTCGATGGCCTTGTATGCCTTGCTGCGCTCGTACTCATCTCCTTGGTATTCATGAAAACTAATGGTGATATAAGGATTCATGAAACTCACAAGTCTACGAATATATTTTTCTATATGCTTACTAAGCTCTTCTGGGAACCATTGCTGAAAGATTGCCCACACGAACATAGCACTTGCCATCATAGACCCTAACTGAGTCATATCCCACATCATAATTATCTTGTAGATCACTTGAAGGTATTTTTTGAGTTGAGGATTAATACAACGATTAAATTCGTTTGTTAATTTATATAGAAGTGAGTACTCGAATATAAGAGTCAAAGATCTTTTAATGAAGGTTCCTGCTACGTGGTGTTGTGCAAAAACAAATCTGACATGGAATGCAGAAAGAACCGACTATGCTTTTTGATACGCGTTACTAATTCGATAGTATTGAAGCTTCCTCGAATGATGTCAAGCTAGTCATCTATGACATCAAGCTGCTTACATATTTAAATGATTATTGTAACTTCAGTGGTTCTTAACATGCACGTTCGAAATGTGACATTTTAAACTATTTTATTAGCATCTTGTCCTCTCAATTTATAAACTGGTGGACTTTACCTTAACAGCTAATAAAAGCATATTATTCTCAAATCACCTAACGCAAAAAGCTTTATATATTTTTAGTGTACCGGAAGTTTTTCTCATATATAACTTTTTTATGGTTCATACAGTCTTACAAAATTAACTAGAATATATTTAGTAGAATATGAATAAAATAGTATTTGTTTAGGATAAAACTTTAACTATAAAGCTTGTGAATTAAGAATTTTTATTTAAAAAAAAAAAAAAAAACATTATTTGGAAAAGTTTTCGTAATAGTTTTTGTAACAACGTAAATTTTTAAAATAATTTTTCATTTTTAACACATATTTTTATTCATAAAGAAATCCCAAAAATCCAATGTTTCACATATTATCCGAATAAAACAAATTCCAAGATCTCAATACATAAAATCCCTCAGTGTGTACGACTCATATCGGTGCCTTTCCGCGATCATCACTGGTACCTGAAACACATATCACATAACACGGTAAACATAAATGTTTAGTGAGTTCCCTAAAATATCATATACAACACATATGCCACTCAAGGCTATAGTATGACCCTCCGGTCGATGTGTCTCAGCGGGACCCTCCAGTCCCGTAGCTCGTGGGACCCTCTGGTCCGGTCATAGCTCATTGAACCCTTCGGTCTGGTCTGTATCGTTGGACCCTCCGGTCCGGTCTATACAACACATAGCATACATATATCAAAATGCACATAATCTCATACATAGAAATAGCACACAAGACCCTCCAGTCTACACATAGATACCACTCTAGGTAATGTATAGTGAGAAGACTCACCTCGAATGAAGTCGGATAAACTCTCGTGCTCGACGTCCCGACCTAGCCTCCTCCTATCATCCGAATAACATTCCTGATCAATACCCTCTCATAGTCTCATTTCTAAAGATTGGGTAGAAGGTCATTCTACCCCTCCCTAAACTCTTCAGAATCAGTCTTGACCAAAACCCTAAGGTCAACTAAAGTCAACGATCAAACTTTGACCCGACTCGTCGAGTGCACATGGGCGACTCGACGAGTCCATTCGGGGTCCTCTGAATCCTTCTAGCCTCACTTTGCACGTCGAGTCATCCCTTCACTCGACGGGTTACTCCTGACACGAATCGTGGGGCAACCCCGACTCGAGTCGGCGAGTTGCTTCCATAACTACACTCAAATGACCTTCTGAGGTCATATCTGCTTCTCTAACATAGGGCTCCTTTTGGTGAAATCTCCTCTAAAATGGCAACCTAAGTTCATTTCTCCCATGGAACAACATAAAGCAGGAAGGATAAGGCTCTCTACACCTCTAAAGGTCCAGATCCAAAGGCTAACACTCAAAGGGACAATAAACCTAACAAATCAAGCCAATAAAGGGTATAGAAAACCCTAAAATTCAAGGGTCTTAATCAAAACAGAGAAAAGATCGACTTGCTACCTCAACACTGTAGATCTAAGCTTGGAAACCACGGATTAGCAACCCTCTTGACCTCCTCTAGCTGGAAACACCTTCTTCTTTGCAAAGCAACACCAAAAAGGATTAAAATAGCTTTCTCTCTCACACAACTAGCTCCAGCTCTCTAGGGTTTCTCTCTCTGGACTGGTAGCCGCAAATGAGAGCTATAAGTGCCTTTAAATAGACCCCCAAACCCCGGGATCTAGGGTTTCCACTTACAGCGCCTACTCGGCGAGTCTACTCTTGGAGTCGTCAAGTAGTTCATTAAACTCACGTGGCCACCCTGCTGCCACTCGACGAGTTATTGCACCAACTCGTCGAGTAGATCAATGATTCTCAAAATAAATCATTAAAAATAATATAATTGGAAATCCAGATGTTACAAATCTCCCCCACTAGAATCAGACTTCGCACTCGAAGTCTCGCTCCGCAAATAACTCAGGATGCCGCTCCTGCATCTCCGCCTTTGGCTCCCAAGTCAACTCGGACCCTCTCCGATGTTGCCACTGGACCTGAACCAGGGGCACCTCCTTGTTCCTGAGGACTTTGATATTCCGATCCAAGATCGCGATCGACTTCTCAACATAATTCAGGCTCGCATCCACCTGAATATCCTCTAGTAGCACTACCACCGACTCGTCGGCTATACACTTCCACAACTAGGACACGTGGAAGGTATCATGGATCTGGCTTAACTCCACATGTAGCTCTAAACGATACGCTACCCTGCCCACCCTTGCGGTCACTCTGAAAGGACCAATCTACTGGGGCCCCAGCTTGCCCCTCTTCCTGAATCGGATCACTCCTTTCTAAGGAGATACCTTAAGGAGTACGAATCTCCAACCTAGAACTCAAGCTCATATCGTCGCCTATCCGCATAACTCTACTTGCGACTCTAGGCTGTCAGCAATCTCTGCCTGACCTGTTGTATCTGCTCTGTCGTCTGAAGCACTATCTCAGTGCTGCCCATCACTCCCTGCCCTACCTCTCCCCAGCAAATGGGAGTACGACACCTCCTCCTATACAACAACTCGAAGGGAGGTATATCAATACTCGAATGGTGGCTGTAGTGATAGGAAAACTTAGCCAACAACAAATACGTGTCCCAACTTCCTCCAAAGTCCAACACACATGCTCGAAGCATGTCCTCGAGCTTCTGAATCGTCTGTTCACTCTGCCCGTCTGTATATGGGTGGTAAGCGGTACTGAAATGCAGCCTCGTGCCCAAATCCTCATGGAACTTCTTCCAGAACCTAGAAGTGAAATGTATATCTTGATCTGACACAATCGAGATTGGTACTCCATGTCGCGATACCACCTCCCTCACATACAACTCTTCCAGTCTCTCTGCAGAAGAGCTCTCACTGATAGCAAGGAAGTGAGCACTCTTCATCATCCAGTCAACGATCACCCAAATTGCATCGACACCCCTTGCGGTCCTCGGCAATTTAGTGATAAAATACATGGAAATTTGTTCCCACTTCCACTGGGGAACCTCAAGTGGCTGCAACATACCATGCGGACGCTAGTGCTCGGCCTTAACCGTACGAAATGTCAAGCACCTCTCAACGAACCATGCAACATCCCTCTTCATACAAGGCCAACAATAGTCTCTCTTCAGGTCCATATACATTTTAGTGGCCCCGAGATGGATCGAGAACCTCGACCCGTGCGCCTCTGTGACAACCCGAAATTTCCGTTCTGTACAAATCATATGAAGTCAATAGAAGTTAGAACAGTTACAATTAAGTTCCAGACTCTTGAGTATAAGTTTGACAGTTCTTCGGGATTTACACTTAAGGATATATCAGGAGAGTGGATGCACTAGGGTTTTGTGCAACACGGTTATTCCAAAACTCTGTGATATTAGAGTTCATTACGGGAATAAAATATTTTCTGCCAAAAATCCCAGGACTATATATAGAAATCTAAACCATATTCAGTCATTAGTTACAATTCCAACTAGAGAAAAGCTAAATTCTCTCTCACGGATATTGGGGTTTCATCCCAAATCGTGAGTATTTCTATCTAGTTGTAATATATAGCTTAGATTGTGCCTAATAACATCAAAATCGGATCAAAACCCCAAGATTTGAGAGTTTACCGCCCAAGAACACTTGGAGAGTAAACTCTTTTATAAGGGCCAAAGTGTGCCCAATGACCCTCCAAGCCTTGGAACTAAACCTAGAAACTACAATGACACGTTTAGACCACAAAATCATTAAGAAACAAAGGTTAAAAGTGAGTTCACGGCCTAGGATGTTCTTGGGCCGTGAAATCCATTTTTAGGTGCCAAAATGCCCTAAATGTCGTCATTGAACCAAGAGACTAGCATAGCACATTACCTTGATGTGCCTAGGACCCAAAACAATGAAAATACCAACACCCATAGGTGTTCACAGCCGCAAACACATGACGAAATGGTTCATGGGCTGAAAACTCAAGTTAGGGGTGTTTTGATGCCACAAACACTTCCTAAGTCTTAGGCTTGAATTTAGACATGTACCCTAATGAGTTTAGGACTAGCAAACACCATTAGAACACCAAGAGTAAGGTGTTCACGGCCCAAGAAGTTCCAGGGCTGTGAACTCCAAACAATAGTGCCAAATGGTGCTATAAACTCTTCTAAAGCCTTGTACACTAGCATAGTTTGGTTCCTAGTTAAATTAGTGACTTGAAAACACCACAACCACCCTCCCAAGGGAGATTACGACCGTAATCTCCATGGGATTTGGTCCATGGGCCGTGAACTCCTCAAAGGAGTTAAAAGGAAGCCCTAACACTTGTGTAAACCTAGAAGCAATTCACCACTTAAGTTGTAATAGCTTTGAGCTTCATTTAGAGCCCCAATGGAGAGTTTACGGCCAGGAGTTTACTTCCTTGGGCCGTAAACTCCAACACACATGGTCTGTTGACCATATACTTCCGTATGAGGTCTTGCACTCCTTTGTTGCAACCCATTAGCCTCCTAGCACTTGATTAAAGTGTTTTCCTCGCATTACGATGTTTATACATGTTTAATTAGTGTTATAATCACTAATTGTTTATATACATATGTCTTCATATGTAATTAGGACCATTGTGTGTGCCTAAACACTACTAGAAAAACAGCCTTTTATGACGCTCATTGCGCGTCGTAAAAGGCTCAGACAACG